TCTTCAGGCCTTTTGACCGTTTGTACCTTTGAATATTTTGTACTAATGGGAAGACAAAAACTTTTCCTAAGCTGTTTCAATAGCTACTTATCTTCACCTTAAACAAGTCAGAGAAATAATGATGATTTTTATCTAATTTAAGTGTAACATAGGATCTTATTGTATCTTTGCCTGCTATATGGGAGAACCTTCTGTCACCACACAGGTACATAGACACTGAACAAATCACTACCAAATCCTTCCATTTGATAGTGTAAATACATTAACAGACGTAACTTTTTCACTATGAGATTTGGAATTATTTGATGGTGCTTATGCAGTGTTTCTCATGTCACCCATCCTGCTGGGACTGTGGACCTACCAATTCAATTCCCTGCAGATCTTATTCAAGTACCTAACGTCTCTACTTAGCTCTTCTAGCTGCAGCATCTCTTTCTGCTGTCCTAGGCATCCATTCTAACATCCACTGGAATAGTCAAATCCTCTTCAGAGTCACTGCTCTTCCCAGCATGTACAGATGGACAACATCACACAGAAGCATGGCTTATGTTTGGCTACGCTGTTCACTGAGAAAACTGTTGCTCATGTTCTTTATTGACTACTACTCTTCCAGTCTGCATGTCATCAGGGAACTCTGCAATACTATTTCATGTTTTCTTCCAGATCGTTACCAAAAATACCCCAAATTACTTTATCTGTGTACATTTTATAAATGTCTGAGTTTGGCTCAATGCTCTGAGGGAACTTGGCTTGCAGTGTTGAACTGAAACACAAAAGTGCATTTTTGGTTTTTTTGAGTAGTCGCCTTCCTCCACAGGGAGAAAAAACAAAAAGAAATGAAAAACATGCCGATATTCCCACCACATTAACCTAGGCACGAAACTTAGGTCACCTTAAGAAGGTGCTTCTTTCTCTCAACCAACTATTAAAAGACTACTCTTTCAATTCAGCCATGTGAATTACAAGATGTGGGTACCTGCTACTTGCCCCTTCTCAAGTGCACCACATCGTCGGATGGTGTACACTGTCACAGTGATACGAACTTGAGCTTTCAGGAGCTTTGCTGGGTTACAACACATAAATCCTGCCCAGGCCCAAGACCTTTATGTAAAATTTTCAGAAAATTGTGGATTCTTACAATGTCTTATGTGACATATCTGATAAGAACCATACCCACCTCTTTGTCTACAGTGCTTGTAATCCCACTTGGCCTTTTGTACCGATAACTGAGATACGTACCTAATTTACACGCCAGGTAATTCTTTGAAATCTGAAAACAATAGGCATGGATTTCCAATAGTTCTTCTGATTTATCTGTTGAAGAAGCTATTTTCTCAACAGAAAAAGAATGAAAATGCCACTTGAAAGAGTGTCAGCATTAATTTGGATTACAGCAAAGAAATGTTGAAATTGCACGGATTATGAATTAACTGCATGCTGAAATGAGCAGTGTATCTATTTTTAAGGGTCCCAATCTTTTAAGTTTGAGATTTTTTTTTTATAGTGACATAATAGGAAAGTTGAAAGTGCATATTAACAAAAATCATCTAAGAAAAGGCAAGAGTAAAATTAGTAATGGTGATCTGAATGCTTGAAAAGCTGTAAAGTTGAGATCTATTAGCATTTCTTGAAAGTTCATGGCAACAACTTCCTTGCAACTGTTTTTGATTATCTCCAGTTTATGATTATCTACATTAATCAGTGGTGCCAGAATAGAACCTATGTTCAACTTACTCACTGCCTCTTTCTGAGCTCTTGCAGGTGATCTAAGCTATGATCTTCTCCCCCAACAGAAGAGACAGCACAGCCAGAGAGTGCTCCAATAGAAATAAAAATAAAACCACATTCACAGAAAGCAAGAAACAAAACTAAAAGCTTATTGAACTGAATGAGCTCCTTGAACGGACACAATGAAAGAACAACCCTCCCCAAAATCTAACCATGGAAAATAACAGATTGGAAAAAAGAGAAATGACCAGATCCTCAGGTAGTGTAAATCCCTGCAACTCCACTGCCTTCAGCAGAGTCTGTCGATTCTCACTAGTTGAGGAGAGGCCTAGAGATTTTAATTTTACTTTGTTGGGCACTAATTATTGCCAATGTGGTTAACAATGATTAACTTCCTTGTTGCCACTGATCTTTATATAATCTTTTTTTTTTCCTTCTCCATATTTTTGATCACCTTGGTCTCATCCAGGCAATATCTGTAGTCAATTTTTAAACGCATGTTTTAAGAATGTGGAAATAATAATTAAATTTGATATGCTAACTGCTGTAGTGATTGTTATGTACTGCTTTAGAAAGAAGCTAAATTAGGCACATATAGGTTCTAAATAGTAAATGATAATGCTTTCCTGTATATTTCTAATAGGTAATTGCTTGATGACTCTTCAACTAGGGCCCTTAGAAATGACATATTTCCTCCGAAAAAAGGACATTATGTCTATTCTAACGTAGTTTTAAGTGTAACGGCACATTTCGAGGCATGCTCAGCTATACAGCCAATGACAACCTTATGGAGATACACCTTATTAGCTTTGACAGAATGCTAATAAATCTCCAGCCTGGAGGGTACTCCCTGGGGAGGCCTGGCTCCTTACCTTTGACATGGGGGATGAAGTGGTGTCGGAAGGGGGAGTTGGGGCGGGAGTCATGGTGAGTGGAGCTGAGACTGCTAGTGCGCAGGTATGACAACCGCTGCACACCAGTAGAGAGCAGCTCTGCAGCAGCAGGGAATCGGGGGGCAGAACAAAATGAAAACAAAGAAAAACAATAAGAGAAAGGCAGGGAAGGAGGCTTCAAAGGAAGGAAAAAAAAGGCATTGAACAATTAGGATTCTGAAAAGAAGGAAGGAGGAAAAAAAAAGGTTAAAGACGTACCGAAGGGTTCATAAATGTTAAGACAAAATTACAGGAAGTATTAGAAGAGAGGCTCAGATTTGAACTGCATTGCTAATTTGGCATAACATTTATTGGCTTGACGAGCTTCTGATCTATGCCTTGTTACCAAAAAGTAGCCTGCTACCAGCATGCAAACATCACAAACATTGACACTCAATTAGTTAAGAAAGCAGCTGTTTTGAAAAGTGCCTGACCAAAAAAATGTCAGTCAAGAGGCATACAAGCTGTTTTCTATTGTTTTAAGACATTCCAAAAATGCTGCCAACATCAGCTAGGGCACTGCAGGAGGAAAAGGCTGCAAACTTTTTCAAAACTTGTAGCACGCAAATTTTTGAAGAATCTTATGCTGACAACGTCAGCACAATGGTTCACTTCTCTCTCAAGGGCTAGCTGGGAGCCAAAGAAAAGTTATCTGGGGCCACTGGGTTTATTCAGAGAGAAATTATTCTTGCAAATAACGTGATGATAAGAAGTGCCATTAGGAGAAAAATGGTAAATATACACGTGCTATTATTCAACATGAGTAATTACTGTAGGAAAATTAGAAAGTAGCATTAACAATTACCCCAAAGCAGGGTAGCAAAGATCAAAATGATAAATTCTGCAGAATTACTTCTGTGTCATATGAGAAACAGAAACAGGTGAGCCAAAGATGAGATCATCTGAACAGAGATAAGTTTGAACAAATATCTTCTCAGAAAATCCCTCAGGCTGCAAACTTTTGAAGATTTTACATTTGGATCCAAACTCTGGCTTGAGCCCATCTGCCCATCACAAGAGTTACATAAACAGAGACTGCTTCTGGGGAAGGTCCTCGACTGAACACAGACAGTAAAACTCAAACACAGTAGAGTCTGGAATAGGGCCTGAATTTGTTCATATCCCTGATACAACTGATACAAATGGAAAAATCCCCTCAGAATTGCCCAAATCAAGAGACAGAAGTTTGCAGCTTTTTCATGCTTTTAAGTCTCTTTTGGTTTCAATTGTAATGTCATCTTAAAACACAGTCACGTTGTCAGCACTAAGTATCAGACACAATTTGCTTCTGTCCCACCTCCCTTGGGTCCTTTAAATAAGGCATTCACTGACAGACACAATTAGCTGCTTTCAGCCCACCCCCACTAGGAAATGGCTACAGCATTCAAGTTCCACAGTGGTGGCTCTATTATAAAGCTTTAATTTTAAAAATGCAGCTCCTATTGTATATGGGCTTTTGGCATCCCAACTGTTCAGCTGTAATGACCAAGGAAGATGGAACTGCACGATTGTATCACTTAATTTAAAAAACAGATCACAAAGATCTAATTCATTACCATAAACAATAAAATCAGTCTTGAAAAGTATTCAATGAATAGCATTTAGAGGTAAATTTTTATGCAATCTGGGTGTGGATGAAAAGTTTATTTTCATATCTTGCTTTTATATACACAACCAGTAATTTTGAATGCACTGGGAACCGGAATGAACTGTACGTTTTCTATATTGTACATAGAACTTGTACATCACTGCTAAACCAGTAAATGAAGTTTGTGTTTTTTAAATGTTCCCAGGCAATTGCCTATGGCTTTAATTAAGAAATCTATCTTGCGAACCATGAGTCTATGTTTTAAAAAATTACTAGCAATTTGGAATATTTGGGGGTTTTGCTGCTGAATCCGAAATTCCATGGCTGCACCAAGATTTAAATGAATTGTTTTTTAGGAGGGAGGAATCCTACATTACTGACTTCTGTAAAGTTAAACCATAACTTTTGTCTCCACTATGTGATACTTTTCCCAAATTCCAGAATGAAGTTTGTGACTCACTGCTGCAAATTTTTGCTCGCTTTCAGGAACATACAAAGTTTTAAAAAATAATTAATCAGAAACAAAACCAGAAGATCCATATTCATGATGTAAGAAACACTCATCAGCCTAGTGCAAAAGACTGCATCAATCAAGAACAAAAAAACAGGTAGAAAAGGAGATATTAAAATATGCAACTATTTTTCAATCCTAAATTTTCACTGCTAAAAGAAACAAATGCTTCGCTGCACCACTAAGTGACATAATAAAGAAACAATAGTTTTACATATACTTCTAATGCAGTTGCCCTTACCAGGTCTGTGGAAATGCTGCGGGGACCGTGACATGGTGGGTGTGTAGCTATGACGACTGTACACTGGAGAATTAATGGATCCCTGACTAGTAGACCTGTGAATCATGCGATCCCGAACATCTTGATAACCCTACAAAATAGAAGCATTCACTAATAAATGTAAATGCATATTACACAGTTTTAGCAGCACTTAACTTTCATGGATCTGAAGACATCAGCAGAAGCTACTGAAATAACAATATCCCTTAAGCTTTCAACCTACTTCATTATTACTGTTTTCTAATGATCTGTTCCAAAGACTCCAATCCATTTTTATAGTCCGGGTCAGAGTTCAGTCTTGGAAGGTTCCAACTCCACCTGTAATTTCTATTATATTCTATATATTCCTAGATTTGCCCACATTCCTGTGACTCCGTAAGGGAAGCTACATTCAGAGTATGTCTGTACATCAGAGTATGCAGCATTCTGGATAAGATACATGAATTTGCCTTCAGCTAGCTAACTTGGAGACCAGCAAGAATTCAATAGCTGCCGAACAGAGCTCTCTGTGGCTTAATTTACCATGTGTCTCGACTAGCTACATCAAAAAGTATTTAGTATAAAAATTTGATTCCCTTTGTATCTGAAAACATGACACCTTCTTGTATATAATTCAATTTACTTGGTTTCCTGGGGAAAAAAAAGCCAATTAAAAACCCAAACAAACCCCCTCAAAACAAACAAAAATAGATTTATAAGAAATTTTATAGTCACTTTTTTAACATGTAGCAATCACTACAACTTTTACAGTGCAAATAAGCAACACTCCCCAGCCCAAAAATGAAAATGCTTCTGCAATGGCACCTATTGTATCCTGACAAATGACTTCCCAAATGTTTCATGTTATTGTGATGTTCAAATTAACTCCTAGGGAAAAGCAAAACCAAACCAAACATAGTTATGTTTTCTTCAAGACGAAACTGCAAATGTTTTAATAGCAAACATGGCTTATTATTTAGATGCTTAGAGCAGCATTTTAGCTCATGTAAATCATCCAGCTCCTGAGATCTGAGTCCACCTGTGCCACAAGAAGGACAAATGTACAAGAAGTGACCTCTGCTGGACAAATGACTCTGCTTTATAGACAACAAAGGAGTAGGAGTGGTAGCTTCATTTTTTGTACAATCTGTCAATAAGAACCTAATGTTTTCTTTTTAGAGTTAATTTTTGTTATGTTTCAATATTCAGAAAACACGTCTGTGTGGCAGAGATGAATCAGACTGATAACAAAATCAACACCTGCCATTTGCTGAAGTGAATAATTCTAATCACAGAAAGATACTGCCCCCAAATGTTCCACCAAACTTACTTCTGCAGAAGGGGTAGGTGATAATGTCCTTGGAGACTGCAAAGACATAAAAATAAGGTTACCGAAACATCATTGCATGTGCTGGGCCAGAAAAGGGCAATCTAAACATTGCTGCAGATACATGGATATATGGCAATATAAAATGGCAATGTAGAAATTACTAAGGCTATTGCAGCACTGGAACTTGCTTTTTCCACATTGCTCAGGAACTGGTCCGTAAATCATTGAAGCAATTAAAGTTTCTGGGAGAATCTTTGTAAGCATGATTAATTCAGTCAAATATCATGCAACATCATCTCTCAACCATCTAATCATTGTGGCAATTAAAACATAGCTGTAAAGATCAAAATTGGAAAAGGTTATTAATTTAATAACTGTGCCTGTTATGAAGAAATCTTTAAAGTGGAAATCAAAAGTAAATAATCTTAACTCAGAGCTTTGCATGGCATCAGAAATACAGAATAACTTCCAGGATGAAGCATGTTTTTCCTCCAACACACATACTCTGGCAAAAATGTGCTTCTCCCTAAGGCCTTACATTTCATACCCATGCAAAGGAGTACGTAGCTGTCATCAACATTTCTTTGATATGATCTCTTTTGAATCTCTGTGTTCTTCCATGGTTACATAAGGAGAACAGACAGGAATTACAAGCGTGTATATTGAAAGAACTGCGCAAAGGCCAGTGGGCAGAAATATGCACAATATTATGAAAAGTTTGTATTACAGAGATAGGGAAACTGAGGCAAGAAATACCTTCAGAAATGAAGCATAAGATCATGCATACGTTGATGGTATGAACAAGAATAAAGGCTATGTATAATTACCTTTAATTATACAAGACCTTTAATCACAAGACAATTTGAAGCTGGAAGATCAGGATTTAATTATTCTCTTTATGCACTAAACTTCAATATTATTTAATTGCCATATTAAACTGGGCAAGAGATTATGCTTTTAAATAAGACCACAATTACTATAGAATGATACAACTATTAAGATAATGTCTCAGAAGCAAAACTGCTGATTTTGGTCTAACTATTACAATAACGTACAACAGCAGTAGTGTAAAACGTATGCAGAATTTCAGGTAATAAATATCCAGCTATACATTTTGTATTGAGAGATCATTACCTTTCATGGAGCTGGTGACACTGTGAATGCAAAGTATCCAAACAAAAGAGTGACATTTTTTTATTTGGGTACAGAACATCTCCTTTTCAGCAAGTTTCCACAAAGCTTTTTAAAGACTGCTTTTGTTACTTTCCATCAGACATGAATGTCTTTTACATTCTTGTTTTCCTAATCCTTACAACTGCACAAATTCTGTACAGCAAACCACCATTTCATTATACATCTAACGGCAGCAGCCATAAAAACTTTGCTCCACATGAAACATATTGTACACAGTTCTTCGTAGCATCATTCTCCACAAAACCAACTGAGAGCTAATCTAAAACTTTCAATAGGTGAATGAAAAAAGCACATGTTGTGATGTGCGTTCCCACATTTTTCTACTAGTAATTTATGTGTTACTGTAAATAAACAAATTTCCATAATCTGCTGTGGTTGCCTGGATGTTAAGGTAATGACTACTATAAAAGGTAGTCACAGGAATCTAAGATTCGGAGGGCATCCCAGAAAGTAACGTGCTGAATCCACGACCAACCTTTCATGTATTTTTACCCCATCACTATCTGACATCATCTTGTTGCTTCTTGGGAAATGGAACCACACTCTGCAGCCAACTTACTGTTTTATCTGCACAGGTGAACTGCCATATCTTAAACTCTGAGTCTGCCAAGGAATGCTTGGTTCTTCAGGGTTTATGAGGTCTTTTAAAATCTGGTCTATCACAGAAGTCTACAGTAGTCAGTTCGAAATACACTGTGCAGTTGACTGAGAAGAAACAGCTCAGTTCCAGAATAATAAGCCAGCGGAAACACAGAATGACGACTTCAGATTTAAAAAAAAAAAAAAAAAAAGGGAAAAGAAAAAGTCTGGGTAGAGAGCCTGTTCTGACCAAATTTACGGTAAAACTTCTACTCACTGCAGCAGGCTCTATCACTTTGAGGTCTAAGGGGCTGCTCTAATACCTGAAGTCATGCAGGTCATTTTGTGTTCTGGGACATTTCTGCAAACTTTTACAGGTGTCATTTTATAACACAAGTTCCAGCATTTCACACTGACTTCATTTTCACTGTCTTTTTATTGAACTACCAGGTAGGATGCCTGCTCCATTTTGAAGCATCTATCACATTAGAAATAATACTTTTCTCACGTTTATGACAGCTTGTTTACTGAACGCTGTTACAGACATTCAATACTTTCAACAGAAAGAATACTAGAAACAAAGGACATGCAGGTAAAATGCTGCTTCTCTCAATATTTATGCAGTGAAAGTCAGAGCTGAGAAAAGGTGACTTCAGTGCTAACCAGGTTGCTGCTAGCACGGCAGAAGTTATAGGACATGAAGAGTCTGAGTTTCTGGAAACGTTATCACTACATTAAGGGTCAGCCTCAGTAGCAAAAAATTTATTTACAGATCTTGTTTCATATCTCTTTTATATTAGAAGCTAAACCACCTCTTCACGAGCTCCCTTTCTCTTGCCCACTAACTGCTGGTGGATCTGTAACTAAAATGCCAGGTCCCGCTAGATGGTGCTATATGAAAACATTTTTCATCACAGACTTCCAGAAAAACAAGATCAGGATTTAACTGAACTAGAGAGATTATGAGTGAGAAACTTTTCAAAGCATTTCCCTTCCATTGCAATAAAGAAGGAAGTCTCATGCTGTGTTTTCTCACTTTCTATGGCTAAAGTTTATAATTTTCTTGTAGCCCTTTCCCTGTAATTAAGGTTTGTCTCCACTACTGGATTAACTTTGGTGGCTCTTGCACATCTCCCTTGTACACCCAGAAATCTTCTTTAGCTGAGTTTGGCAATTTTTTTCTTTTTTTTTTTTTTTTAAATCATGGTGAAGGGCATTTCTAGTGTACAAGCTTAAACTCAAGGTCCCCTTTTATTTAACACCACCACATACACACACTTTGCAAAGAGAATGCAGGTTAAATCACTCAAAGTCTGCAAATCCCTGCCATGACTAAATATGTCACCTCCTTTGCTTTGTAAAGATGATGGTGACTGACGTATGATGTACCAAGATTGAGGTATCACTCGATTACCACAACACAAACACAAAGTAAGAGATTATTCCACCCTGATGGGCTTGTGTTCTCATTAGGGCAAGGGAAGGGAAGAGAAACAGGTACAAAGAGGTGAGGTAACTTGCCCAAGGTGACAGAAGTCAGTAGTAGCATTGGGTGGAAAACCCAGATCCTCTAAAAGAAGGTGAGAGCCTTTCTGTTTCCAGAACAAATTTCTGTAGTCACCAGAAATTAATTGGATTTAATGCTGGTGAAAATACGGGGTAAGAAAACCCCAAAGGCTTTTGCTTATCCCCAGAACAAGTGTAACGGCAGACAGCTTCCACCATACTGCTTTATCAGCTTCCAACATACTTCGTTGTCAGTGAGAAGCTTCCCCTTAAGGATTAACAAATAGTTTACCTTCTCCGGGTGAGACTAGTTAGGAACTAGTCTCTGTGACTAACAAGAGACTTGTGTTTCTAGAGGGTTTTGTGGAATGGGTCAGCCCTGTTGGAACTGGTCAGAGGTCACCAATGCATCTCACAGTGGTTTTGAAACAGATGTCAGCTGGATTCACTACCAACATAAATATGAGGGTGGAAATTCTGTAATATTCTGACCTGTTAATCTGTTATTTTACTCCTGAGCTGAACAGTCTCATGGATTTCCAACTCATGTTATAATTTAAAAGACTAACCCTATAAAACATTAAAAAACAAAGTAGAAAAACTGAGGCAGCTCTGATCTGTTGCTAAGAGAGCAGATTATCAGTCACTGATCTGGGCATCTTCAGACCACTGGTGCCTGAATGATTTACTGTACTTCCTTTTCCTTCAGCTCATCTTCACACTCAATTCAGTTACAGTCAGTGAAGTCACTGAGATTGCAAGGAAGTAAATCCATTTCCATGTCCATTTAAATTTGCATTCTGCAAGTCTGATTTACAGTCAGATGGTATTACATGACAAAATCTGCTTCACGATCTGCTCTGAAACCATGTAAATAGTAACTGTAGCTATGGAAGTTCACCTCAGAAAATTGGGGACCCTACAACCTGAAAGATATCTTTAAATACAAATTTAAGAGAATAAGATGTTTTTTTCTATTGTTGCAGGATACAAGAACCCTTACTAAATGTCAGCAGTTTAAAATATGAGGCAGCTATTTCCATAATGCAACTAACCTGCTTTCCCAGGTGGAAGAGCACTTCATCCTGACCTACTTCAGATTTTATCCAGTATGTCTGACAAAGTGCTCTGGAAATATATTTTCCTTTGATATGTGTAAGAGAAAGCATCCCACTGCTCTTAATCCTTTTACTGCCACAGAACATCACGGTATTTCTCATATTCTGTTGTGAATATCAGTGCTGTACAGCACACCAGGTTGGCTTTTGCCTCACGTTCTGGACTTTGCTGTACCCAAAGACTAGGATATCCATGTGAGTTATGAGAATGCACATGCAGACAGGTTGCAAACCTCCCCCCTGCCATTCCTCTGCCAGTGGCTGGTGTTAGTGCAGGTGTTTAATTGTGTGTTTAATTGTGCAGTTTTGCACATGAGGCATCATCATGATAGTTCCCATTAAACCCAGATCAAACAGACAAGAAGCACTTTGAATAGCAGCTGCAACAATACCAAGGAGTGTCAATTAGAAACTGTTTCAAAAGAGAATAGAAGCGAAGCAGGCTTTTAATAAAGCTTATAGCAGAATGTGTTGCTTGTCGGCTCATTACCTCTCCAAGACTCTGTCTCTCCTGTCTGTCCTCGTAGGCGGAAGTGTAGAATGGCTCATAAGTAATTAGGTCTGGACGCTCAATGTCATAAATGGCCTTGACTTTGGGAATGGCTGCTAAATCCTTGTAATCAAGGATCTCATTGTCTACTTTTGCCTGAAGGTCAAAGACAGAAGATAAATTAACTTACACAAATGCACCAGTAATTTCTGTTTTACACAATTTATGATTTTTGTGTATTTGTTGTCACACTGTTGCTACAGAAAACCCTTTTTGGCATTTCACATGCAAAGTGATTGCTTCTTGTTCTTCTCCAACAGGCCTCCTCTGCAAAAGCACACAGTGTTTTCTCAGTTTAGGAAAGAAAGAATATGGCATGTATAGATCTAATACAAAAGTTTCTTATCCCCAGCAGTGAGCTGGAAACTTCAGCTCTGCAAATGACTCATTTTGTGGCCTCAGGCAAGTATTTTCACCTTTCTGCTCTTGTTTTCCCATACGTAAAAATGTGTGATAACATCAACTTAGTTTGCAGATTACAGAGATTGGGAGGATTCCATGCAGAAGACCACAGACAGAAAGCCAACTTATAACTGTGCACACGAGAGGAAATACAACTTATTACAAGGAAATAAAAAGGCAAGCAGGACTATTTGTTAGGACTGGGTATCCAAAGTCCCAATTGAAATGATTATATTGCACCCATTACTCAACCTATACGCAAGCTTCTGACTAAGGCATATGTTGCTTACTAACTGCATACTACACTGTACTAAAATTGACTCTTTTTTCCACTAAAACTGCAAGGAGCTCTTGACTAGTTTAAAAATGGTAGTAGGAAATCAGTTCCAAAGACAGCTGCAGAAGGAGCTAGAAAGAGGCCTTACATATAGTTTAGATAGCTAATATCTTTCCTTACTTAAAAGACTTGTTAAAAAAAATCATCATACATTCTTACCTACCTTACAGAAATACATTTGATGATTAAAACTGAAAGAGAATATTCAAATTGGTTTTCAACTCTTCTACTAGGTATTTAATTTATTCATAGTAAGCTGCACAAGGAAATGAGGCTGATCTGTTTCTACTCACATTCAGTTCTGTTCTTCCTGAGTACTAGCACCTCGTATTTTCAGATTTAAGTGCACTTGCCTTCCCAAGCTCGCCTTCCCAAGCTCTCCTACCAACCACTCGTCTTGGTGGTTCTTAAGCCATGCCATAAATTAGAAACAATACAAAACATTTTTTGATAGAGAAGCAAGGTTTGAAATTCACTTTCTAAAAACAGCCTCAAATCTGTTTAGTTTTGACTCACCAGATATAACAACATACCTTAAGCCAATTTAATCCTTAAAATATGCAGGTATATTAATGGATGTTATTTCTGTAATATTTTTACCACAGTCTGTTAATGACCTGCAAATATGTCTGGATATTCTTAATCCAATATAAATTACCATAGATATTTTTGTAGACCCTGGTCTAGGCCACCACATTGCCCTACAGACTGTGCTGTTGAGCAGCAGTTAAATTTCATAAGCTATAGCTTATGAAGTTGGTATTACCAGCAAAATTGCAGTTGTCCAGGACATGCTCTGTGTTTTGATATCTGCAGTGTGAACATTTTTAATATATCAGCTAATTTTTTGTTGTTGTTGTTGAAATGCACTGAACTAGTATTTAACTCAAACTCAGGACTTGAGATTTGTAATTTTGGTAATTTTTCTGCACTATTATACATGTAACAATTTTTTGTGTCTTACACTACATTTTCACCTATATAATCTTAACGTCATCTATAAAATCAGCGATTCAGCATTATGCTTAGGTAACAGGAAAGAAAGTTTGCCTTGTAGTCTGCCTCTTCTTCCCAGCATACCTTCATCTTTGCTCCCCTCATAATGGGCTCTCTCTCACTAACTTGCCTTCCTGTGATTTTCTTCCTTAGCTGTTATCTTCCACGTCTGCCTTGGATTTTGTGCAGGTTATCTGAGAGCATGTTTTATACGAGGACAAAGGTTATATGGACTTCCAAGGAACAGGACTCTTAAATGGATGTGCATTTTTGGAAGTGTAGGTTATATGCATGGAAATACAGCAAGTTTGAGAAGGCTGAGCTGTTCTGTTATTCAGCAAAGTACATCTGAATTGATATTCTTTCTCCTTAGAACCAGATTAGTATAGCCACAAAGTATGACTTTTTTTGACCCTGTGGACTTCTCTGCCAAGAAGAAAAAAAAAGGTACTGACACTTACAACACTGAAATGCCTAAAAAAGTGGTATGAAAATAGGAGAAAAATATCATTCCTTTGAAAATTTTGGGCCATTCTTCTGCTAATGTATTTCCATTTTTAATTTCTAAGATCTTATGGGCTCAAAAGTTACCAATAACGAGGCCAAGAAGTGAAAGAGATCCTCAAAAATACCGAAAGAGGAGGCTTCATTACTGAAGGAATCATATTAAACTCTACAGCTCAGGTAACCACAAATAAAATAGTATATCAATAGCTTTGCATTTTCAGCACTGTTAGTTTAGTAAAAGAAGGATGCTTAATATAATTTTTGTTCTTAAATAAAAAACACTTTTCCTTCCACAACGAAAACATCTGACTTCTGAAACGGAAGGTGTTGTATCAGCCAGGCTTCTTTTAGTGCAGCTGACGCTCCTCCCCACATCCTGCAACTGCAGACAGCAGACCTCTCAAGAACTGCATATCGAGGTGCACAGACCTCCTCACATAACCCCTAACAAAGGCAAATGACCTGTCTGCCTTCTGTCCCTCTTCACATCACCAAGTGACTTAAAGAGATTTACTGTATCTTTCTAAGGGAAACGTGACCTGGAAAAGGCCTACCCTGCTCTTGAAATTCTGTAGTTATAAAAACTACATGGCGAGAATTTAGACAATTTAACCATTAGAACAAAGGCATTAGCATCAGTATAAAAGTGATTTATTTCAGCATAGAGTATTTCACATGCAAGCAAGGGATTAGCAGCTTATTCATCAGAAGAAATACTTACATAGATAGTGTGGCCTGGAGAGCCAGGTATACTGGAACCTGGTCTGGAATAAATACTTTCTGATGATGTTCTTGTGGGCTGAAAAACAAAAAGTAACTTTTCAGAGCAACCTGAAGCCATGAACATTGGCAATTTTGGTTTTAAGTGAAGAAATCTGCATACATCTTGAAATTAACTGAATTTAGGAAAAAATGTCAACACAAATGCAAGCATTCAGGCAAATTTCACAATCTTGTGAGGCAAGTGGGCTTTTTTTTTTTTTGGTAGGGGAAGGAGTGCTGTGAGAGGGGAAAGAGGTTTTCTAAATCATACAATATAAAAGACTGACAACAATAATGAACAAAATCAAACAACACCTGCCAGAGACACTGCAAGGAGCCATACAAAGTACAATCCAGGACGGTTCTGCTGGTCATTTTATCAAAATGTTAGTTCACAAACAGCTAGAGGTATCAGCAGTTCAGCAGACAAAACTGTTGAGAGGAGCACAGCACACACATTATCGCTTTCCAGATGTTCCATCACTGGATTTCCATTATGAATACAGAACTGAATTCAGTCCTTCTAAGTAGAAGGACCAGAAATCCTTGGCCTGGAGCTGTTCCCTACATCTGCAGCACAATCTAGATGAAACATGAAAGCTAAACTGTTGATTGAAATGCCATGAGTCCCCATACTGCAAAAGTCCTGATGTTTAATGATAATGTCCTGCACACTGAAATTCATGAGAACAGTCACACCCCTACAGAGTGACTGCTGTTACACATTTAGTAGATTTTCCAGCATTTCATCAGGACTAAACAGACACTGATTCCCTGGGAGAAGTTTTGTGAGAGGAGACAAAATAATTTATCACTGAGATGTGGGGATCCTGAAAATTTGGTGAATTTGAAAAACGTCTATTCGATCAAAAGTCACCCAGGCTATTGTGGCAATTACTCCTAAATTTGGCATGCATCAGACGCACAAAGATAGTCAACAATATCCCACCTGCAACTGAGAAACCATGAACAATTTTTGCTCCCTAATTGACTGCAAAGAACCAAATCCCATCACAAAGCAACGCATCAGCAGATGACGCTGATGACACTAGTGCAGTGGGATGCTTCAAAGTCACTGAAAATTAAATCTTGGTAAATAGTCCTTACCTTGTCAGCTTGTGACATTGAACTAAGGGACCTTCAGGCACACACGGAAGAGAAACAAGGCTTGACAGCCTAGCTCACTGATTTTTCTCAGGAAATATCTGGAGTGAACACAACAGCGCTATTGGACCTTTCTTATCTCTCAGCATACATTTCCTGAAAGGACCCTTCAACAGACCTCAGAGTCTTTCTACCTTTTATTTCATAGCCAGGAAAGCTATTGGAACAATCCGTATAAAAAATGCTGAAGACTAGTCGTGGATCATACAGCAGGCTTTCTCCGACTTCATTTGTGGAAATGAAATCACCACATTTGGGGAAGGTCAGAGGAGGAAAAGGCTTTGAACATGTTCCACCAAAAAACGTGAAGATTCAGATCAGAGAGCAGATGTGGCTGTGGACTGACACAGTCACAAATCCTCTCCAGAGCATGCCTGAGAACGCTTTCTCAGCTGGACCTTTATGTGTTTCTTTCTTTTTCTCTCTGTAGCTGCAAATTCCTACATCCCAAAAAGGAACAGAAATTTCTCAGCTGCCCTTAAGCTCCTCCCATGATGCAATCAAAGCAAAAAAACCAACAACAACCACTTGTTTCATGGAAATGTTACAAGAATTAAGCTGGAAAATCTGGCTGTTGTTGAGAAACACTTTATTCCCCCTTCCGTTCTGCCATTTCACACCACTGTCTGAGTGGAGACACATGTAACATGTTGCTGCAGTTGCTATGGAAAACAATTGTTTTCATTACAACATAGGGAAAAGCATTAAGTAGTTGAGGGACTGTTAGGGGTGTCTCTGTTACCTTTGGCTTTTGGCAAACATACTTTAAGAGTTTTGTCTGCTCAATTCTCCTGTTGTAGGAAAACAAGCATTAGAGGCAGTTACGGCTTATTCCCACCTGGCAGGCCCTCTGGGTTGCTCTTCACTCTGGAACTTTTATAATCTCTTCAGTAAACAAGAAATTCTCAGCCCTCGCTCCATCTCCTTAGTCTCATCTCTTAGCGTCACTGCTAAAAACCTTTTCAGCAAAGGAAAACTCACTTGTATTTACCAGTTCAGTGAATTTATTAAATAAAATTAGACACCTTAAGAAGACAGTTTCAGCCACATCCTGCTAACAACTTTCTTAGGTGCTCTTAATCCTGGAGTACAGGAGCAGTTGTCAGATGGACAGGCAAGTTGTAGCACCTGTTCTTCATTTCCTCACTGTGTTTCTGCTCCAAGTTCCTCATTACCATCCCATTAACACAGCCATGAGCCAGATATGACACCCTTTAAAACCAGTTTTCTATTTTCTGTAATTCTTCCTGCATACATCAATTTTACCTTCCATCTATTGCAAAGCTCCACATTCCCTGGGCAGGATGCCATCCTGCCAGCCACTGCCTAAGCACACACCGTTCCTCTCCCAAGGAGCCCTGGAACTCTGTGGCTCCTCTATTTCCTCCCAGTCCTGTATCTTGCTTAAGTTTATGACATACCCCTGAAGACAGTGCATGAAAAAGAGGACTTCTACATCTATTCACCCTTCCTGCCTCACTTTGCCCTATTTCTTGGTTTGAATTACACAGGCTGTTTCCATAGCAGATGGCTAACTATTTCCTACTCTGCTGCTCCCATATGGTCTGGAATCCTTCACAGCTTTGCACTCTCCCCTAAAGACAATTCCATTGCACTTGAAAACATTTGTGCTGCTTGCCTTAACAAACATACACTAAAGATTCCTTGATATAAGCATATCTGGCATACTTTTAGTTGCTATGATTGGCTCCTCTCCTAAGAGACCTATAATAGCTCCTGACTGAAAATCTGTGACGCGGTATGGCTTTTATTAGATTGTACATTACATCTTCATTAGCAGTCAAGAATCCCTGACCCCGTGTACCACAGTTGTGACTTTATATCTTAAGCAGGTGGCAAAAGACACATTGGAGGTCAAGTTCTCTATTGATGTAACTGCAGTGGGGTGTAAATTCCACCTTAGAGGAGAGCTGATCAGAGTTATCCCTGGTTTAACCTTTCACCTTCAGTAGAGATATCATGTGAGCATCACTTGCACACATTATTGGAAGAAGACAGGTAAAGAAATTAGAGGAAACATCCTTTAATATGAACGCATTAATTTAGAGGTATTTCCTCCCATCACAATAGTCCTATGACACTTGTTCTACACTCCCAACAACAAAACAAGTTAAGCTGCCTTACTTCTTCTACAAACAGATCTGGAACACTCTTTATATGACAGTTCTTGCTCCTGAAGGTTTCAAATAGAGCTTTTCATAATGCCACCTTTGTGCAGAGAAATTTAAAGCAAATTTCTCTGAAGAACTACAACTAAACTTTTTTTCTGTTCTTGTGGTGCATGGCCTTTCTCCACATTTTCTGACAGTGGAAGAGTCATTGCTTTTTTTCTTTCCTCTTCCACCCAAATGGATGTAACAGTAGTAAATATATCAATATGGGATGTCTCTACCAGATACAGGAAGTCTATGATGTATATGAAAAAAATCAATAGAAGTTCAGTCAATAGAAATTCATCCATGTCATCAAAGGAGCCAAAGAAAAGAACCAAATCACAAAGTATCTAAAGTATCTGCAAGACTTCTCAGTATTTCCCCTTTATCACAGACTTCTTATTTTTATGTTTTTGTTCTTCATTCCATGCATTTGTCTTCAATACAGAAGTTCTTTATCAACTTCATTTGCAGATTGGCAGAGGTAACACCAACTGTCATGCTCATCCTATTATGTTCACTGTGAATTTCAATGCTCAATTATCATATCACCCATGCATATGCCCCAAACTGATTAATGTGTTATTTTATTATTAGATTGCAAAGCTTAAGATGTTCATCTGCATTTACCTCAGTTTGTCATGTTATCATGCATGGCACATCATCTAAATAAATAACTTCTTAAAAAAAAAAATCCACGCTAGAGCCATTCACATCATCCAGATGCTGCTACAATGGGGTGGCTCTGGCTTTCTCAAGTACAGATGTTCAGAATCATGCTCTATAAAAACTTACAAGTGCAGGCAACCAGATCAAAACTGATCCCAAGAACATCTGGCCAAACGGATGCGCTATTGTTTAACAAAGGCATTGTCAGCATTGTTTACAGTACCTGCCTTAGTTTTTTGATAGAGTTCATTATGCAAGGCGGTGATAATAGCTGCAGAAGAATGGATATATTTTCACTTAATAACATTTAACATTATAGGTTAAGCAAATTCTCTAAACCTCAGAAGTTACTTTAAGTGAAGCATGTTTATAAATAAGCTAATAGAAGATTAGGATGTAATTTATTCTACTAGGCAGACACAACTTTGCAATAGCAAGGAATTTGGTTTTCTCAGTACAACACTTGCTACTCTGACTACCTGCTTCATCAACTGCAAGGTTTTACAGTTATTTAGGACTTGGAACCAGGGTTCATTAAACAGTCTTCCTACGGATTTCAGCAATTTTCAGTCACCGTGTACAAGACCAATGAAGCACCTCAGTGTTACAGCATTCACTGTGCCTGTCTGCTAGTTTAACTGTACCCTTCTCCTTACAAGACTGTTTCCTTCAAATGCATGCATTTGTTATTTCTCTGCCTAAAAAATCTACACTATGTATGCATCAAGACAAAACTAGTGAACAGGTTTAGTTCAGACTCACACAGACACGCATATTAATAGGTTACAACTAATTTTTCTTCCCTTTCTAGACACAAAGGCCAGAGAGGAGAATGAATTTTCAGCACATAATCATTGAAGGCATGTTGCTACCAAACAAACTCTTTTACAAGACTACTCATGCAAACATAGCCTTCACCAAGAATAAGTTAAGTGGAAAGCAGAAGGAATAAAGCGGGAAGTCCAGAACATACTGAATTCAACAGCAAACTTCTCAGAGAATTCACAGGATTTCACTGTACAATTTTTAACCTACAATTTGCATGTAGATTCAAGCCTTTGGCCCATCTTTATAGCAACAGCAATGATAGTATCTTTGTGTCTACTCTGCAGAAGAACACTTGAAGCCAAAATCTGCCTTGAATTACACTTTGTATAATCAGCATGTAAATCTAAACAGAATTTAATACCGACCAAATTTACACAAGAGGATATTCATCTGACCCTAAGCTATTTGTATCCTACACAATCTACAAAGCAAGAAAGAGAGCATACCTTTATTTTGACATGGGCTGCTCCTATTTTGCCTTGCCTATTTTTCTAATACATCAGACAGAATTTGTTTTCCTAATCCTATCCTAATCCTAAGGCTCCTGGATTTCAACACTGGAAACTCAGACTCATGCATGCTAAGCTGAATGCAAAAAGCCACTACACTGGCCTAAAAGATGAGTGAAACGGTCCCACAGTTTGCTGTTCTCAGACTCCAACACTGGATTCTATAAAGCCTAGGACTGCAGAGACATTGCCCTCCTTAGGAGTACTGATAACACATCTTTATAGCTGTATTTTCTTGATACATAGTTCTGTAGCTAACAGAAAGAGCAGTGTTCAAGAGTAGTTAATGCATTCCAACATCCTAAGTTAACTGACTAAAGGACAGTGCAGGACAAAGGGTACAGGGCTTGCATTAACTCCCACTGAATCACAGCATTGGATTCAACCATGTAACACTATCCTGCAGACTGCATCTAACACAAATATCCTGCCCTAGCTGACGATATGACTACATCTACTTTGCAATTAGAGATGTGAAGGCAGCAGGAGCAGACACAATGGAAATCCAGTGGCATGGACTCTATCAGCCTGTATGCCTACTGCTAGCCTGTACTAAGTCCATACCAGTACATTCTTACTTCGTTATCAGGTGAAAGCTATCTCAGGTGTACCTGCATGCAGTACAGCCACACGTCCCCCCACAGCAGACACAACTCATAAATAAGTCACTGCCCTGAAGTAGAAGAAATGGCAGTGGGTGGTGTTTGCAGGTGCAAAGCAAACTCAAGGAAGTCTGAAAGTCCAGAATCAAGAGGACAGGGAGGACCTCCCAACTTGGACGTGAATGTGCCCCGGATTAGAGAGAGGCAAATGCTCTTGGGCAGCACATAGAACATGTCCAAACCTGGAATTTTGTAAATATTTTCTCAACTGAACTATTCATATGTAGTTGGTCAGTACATATAAAAAAGTAACTGATTTAACCGATGGCTTTTTTTTCTAAAAAGCATGAGCCATTGTTCATGAAAAACTATTTCTTTTTAACCAGCGCTTTTAAGTCAGATGCTTTTCACCATTTTCATTTGCTTCATATTTGCACTTTAATTTTTTATTTTAGAAGAAAAACTTTCTGTAACACTTGAAGAACAATACTACACCCAAAAAGCTCATCTGAATCTAAAAAAAAAAAAAAATTCTAAGCGTTCATTAAACAAAATAAAAAATGTGAGAATTAACAAACAACACTGCACCACATATGCAAAATACAGCGTCAGTGCCCAGGGTGGCAAGTGATAGCAGGAAAGCTGTGTGGCAGGAGTAGTAGCAAGCGCAGCGAATGACAACAATGAAGAATCTTCTCAGTAAAGAATACCACTATCAACACTATGAAAACACAACAGCAAACCTCTGCAGAGCGTGGCCTGCGCAGAACCAGACTCTTTGGATAAAAGAACTCAGATGAGGAATGCTGTCATGAAAATTCTAAGCGTTCATTAAACAAAATAAAAAATGTGAGAATTAACAAACAACACTGCACCACATGATGCAAAATACAGCGTCAGTGCCCAGGGTGGCAAGTGATAGCAGGAAAGCTGTGTGGCAGAAGTAGTAGCAAGCGCAGCGAATGACAACAATGAAGAATCTTCTCAGTAAAGAATACCACTATCAACACTATGAAAACACAACAGCAAACCTCTGCAGAGCGTGGCCTGCGCAGAACCAGACTCTTTGGATAAAAGAACTCAGATGAGGAATGCTGTCATGAAACACAAAAGGGAAAAAAGTGAAAAGGAAAGCAGTTTCCCCGGCTCAGTGGTTAAGCTCTTTTTTTCAATCAAGTTACTAGTACCTACTTGCTAGATAATAATCTGTGCATTATAATATCTATGTTACTTATTAATCCCAGCAGAATCATGAACCACCAGACAGTTGCAAAAAATCCTAAGCGATGTATATTTTTTAACATACATATGGTTGCTTTATTTTCTGCTTGTTTTGGCTTTGTAATCCTCCACAAATATCCAGTGGGAGGAAGATCTAAAGCAACCGTTGTTTTTATGAACTCCCTCTCAGATCTTGACCAGCTAGACTGCTGATTAGTTTATACCACAATTCAGTTACTGAGAGAAAACAGAACTTGCTGAAAACTTCTAAAGTGACTTCAACGATAAAAGGGCTTTTTGTTTTGTTTTGCTCTATAGGGAAAGGAAACCCAGCAGAGCAAAGAGGCCATGTCACTGGCTTTTTGCAGAACCACCAGAAAATCTAGGCCTGACCCTGAAAGTGGCTATATCATATATTTGTCAACTCACAAACCAGATTCTGATTCTCACATCAGGTCTAAATGTATGTCATCAAGAAACTGAAAGTCAATCAAAGTACAGTTCATAATTTAGTGGTGACATGTTCAAATAGCACATAGTTCCCTCAGTTTCATTTTTTTCTGTACCTACCTGTTTGCCACTGCCTTCATTTGAGTCAGCAGAATGAAGTATGTGTCAAAGTCATCAAAGTGAGCCCAAACTGATTTTGAAATAAGGTGTCTGACTTTGCACCAGAGTAGATAGAGACTATATCTGTGATGTACAGTTGAAGCTAAAAATTCTCCATCTCTCCAGCTACCTTCAGTACAGTGCATTTGTCAATGCCTTTTAAAGACATACTAAACCTCTGCATAGAAGGTCTCATCCAGGAACAAGGCGACCTTGGATAGCTGTGCCATAACATTTCTCAGATGTTCCCTTAATATGCATTCTTTTGCTTCACTTCATTTTCCTGCAAGAACTCACTTAGGCAAAGTCTTGCAGGTGGATGAATTCATGTACTTCACTCACTTCAATTAAAATAAGCTGAGAGGGAAGAGGACTGACATGTTTGAATGTGTGACAAAAAAAAGGAAAATATTTGAAGAAGACTTTGGCCATTTCCATGGGGAATGGAAATAAGCCAACTGATTTATAAGGTCAGCTGGAGAAGGTTCGTAAGGGCCGCAATGTAGTCAGGAGTGCTTTGATAAGACTCTTGGGTCCAAGTGAAAGGGAGGTATTGTACCCCAACCATTCACTACAAAGCACAAGTGTTCTGACACTCAAGCAGGGCCAAAACACTGTCTTACATTCAAATTGTTAAATGAGGAAGAAAATCCAGTCCAGCGTAATTTTCCATTTTCTTATGGAAAGTCAGGACAGAACAATGTGCAAATGCTGGATGGTACCTACAGTGATGTTTGGCTGTGCTAGATCCCATGCCCATCTAGGGCCAATTATACTTCTGTATTGACAGTACAGCCCACACTAACATGAACTCTGCTCAACAAGAATTTATCTGCACATTACCTACGATCATAGTAAATTCTCTGTGGGGGATGTTTTACAGACCAGTGCACCTGAACAAATTCTAAAGGATGTGGCTTCCTGTGAATAAGCCACACATAGAACACAACCCACAGGATATCCTACATATCTCCGTGCCAGTACCTCTTAGTTTCCTTGTCTGAAAGACATTTTATTCGTATACAGTCTCTAATATTCATATCCAGAAAAATTATCAAAGCTCAAAGGACCAACTGAGACATCAAAAAGAGTAAATTGTCCAGAAGATGAATTAGTGAACATGGGCTTAGAATTGCCTGGTGCATGTAAAAAGCCAGGCTCCGGCAAATATCAGTGCAGCATTATTGCCATCAAGGATTTGATCCAGAAAGTTTGTCTGGATATGCTGAGGTGACTCCAAGGATAACTGCAGCTCTCCTTGGCATTCAAATTAGGATCACTTTAGGTTGGGGTTTATTTGGATGGCAAAGGAAGAAGGGTCCATATTGTCTAAATGCTGTAAATAACCATGCAGAACAGGGGATAACTATAGAGCAATTACACAGATGTGCAAAAATACTAAAATATATCGTATCATTTGTGCTATTCACATTTTCTTCTTAAGAGTCTCTCTCACAATATTTGAGATATGAAATGAAGTGTTTTAGTGACTTTGCCATGTCTGTATGTCAGTAAATGATACTATCTTTAGGCAGTGCACTGAGACAGGTAGGTGAAGGTGGTGAGCCTAAAAACCAGAGCAATACCTCTGAAGTGCCTCCACTGTTTATTCTACCAGAGTAGTGACAGCTATGCGAAAAAAACATGGGAAAAGTCACTCTTTTAAAAACAGCATTCAGTTATTGTGTGGGCAAAATATCTGGTGTGCCATTGCCACAAATTCAGCTTACCCGTAGCTTATCTTCAGTCTTAGTGGATTGCTTACAGTCGGGATGCCAGACAGTGGAACCTGAGGGAGGTAAAAAACCATCTTTATTCAGAGTAAAGCAGATGACTTCCAGTCACGACAAGTCAGTTATTAAAGAGAATCCATTCATTGCATCAGATGGTGAATCTGTATGAACTATGCAAGTAATTCAAATTCAATTCTAGCTCATGAGGAATACAAGTGAAACAAGAAGAATATTCAAATCCTTGGCCCATCTACAGCAGCCTCTTTCTGAGGCTGTCAAAGCACTTTGCACACATTCTTAATTAAAACTCAAACAGCCTCAAGCAGCAAGTCAGCAAGCACCAGCTGGAGGAACTGGAAGACAGAGGGTTTCTCTGAGCAGGATGGAGAGTAAGAGCAAAAGAACTGGGCCATGGTTACCTGATCTGTTCTCCCTTTATGTACTACACCACACATAAAAAGGAAGTCCTGATTATAAGTCCATTAATACTGGGAAAGTCCTATGACTTCCTTGAGCAATAGATGTCATATTCAGTTACTGTAAAGTATTACTCAAATCACCTCTCCCCTGCAATTATGCAAAATGCAACAGGAAAAGCAAAATTAGAAAATTCACAACGCAGCAAAGTCAGGGCTGTATCTCACCCACTGCGCTAAGCTAGAGAGGCCAGTATGACGCAGGTGGTACAAAGCAGCATGTGAAAGAGCCTCTCCGTAGATCACAGTGTACCATACTTGTCATTGGCACACACATCATTTCTACTCATTGCTCTGCAAGGTCAGTGGCATGTGTTGCACTGGCATTTCCACATGGCATATTCCAGCTACACATCTTACTAAAAAAGGCAAGGTCTCTGCTGTTTGTGTCCCAAAACACAGGATTCTCTCTTATGCTGTAAAAATGGAAATCATAGAATCATAGAATCATTGAGGTTGGAAAAGACCTCTAAGATCATCGAGTCCAACCGTCGACCCAACGCCACCATGCCCACTA